TTTCCCGTGAATCGGAAAACGTCGGGTTACGTCAGTCATGTCCAACTATGGAACGGATCACTTGAACATCAGTCTGGAGTTGAGGAGCAAACGACCGCGTGTTTCGTCATGATTGTTACTGGGTTGATATGTGGGAACATCAGCCCTACTTAGCTGCAGTACAGCATAAGTTCCGCAAACCCAGAGGACTGACCGCTTCTCACACCCACCTGTATTGTTTTAAACATTAATGGGGAGTATTTTTCGCGCCCAGTCATCGACTACAGTGAATAATTCAGTGGGGAACACCAATAGTCTTATACTAGGCTCCCGTTTTGTATTGAAAAGGGTTTGAAGTAACTTTTCGGGTGGCTGATTACTCAGGTACCTCCAATATTCAAATGTCATTTTTCAACAAAGTCGGTTGCGCTGGTCATTTCTGTTTCTCTGGATGGGGACCCCGAGATGGGATATATCGCTGATTGGAGGGATTGTCAGAAAAAAAACCCAGTCGCGCCATCAATGGCGCTCATAAATCCAAGCTATTGCCTTCAATGCTTAGACGCCCCCCCCCAATCTTCTTATTTAATAGCCCACTGCATCAGTTATATCAGCTACCACCTCCAATGCGCAACTCTCTACCCCACCTCCTCAAATCATCAGTGAACGAAACTGTGGCAGCTAGAATCACTAGAGCGATTCTTACAGGTGATGATGACGATGATGAGGATGACTTTTCATCACTTATTGAAGAATCCTACCAACGTGGGAGTATGCATCTTGGCTCTAAATCATTGATCCCTAATGCCACCAGATTCAGCTTGACTTGGGGTTCGAGCAGTGTTTCTTTTAAAGAATGATTTCACATCCGTTTGTCGATCCACTCGATAATGTACACAGATGGGGGGTTTAAGTCCCTATTTTGAAGTCCTGTCGTCAAAATCTAGTGTAATTTAGCAAAATGACAGTCAGTATACTAGTAACGGAAAACAGCTTGCATCATGGGGACTAGAATAGCTTTAAATGAATGTGCAACAAGGTGATTTAGAAATGGATCTTTTGCGTGTGTTGTCCGTGCTATTTCAATTCTTTTCTCTTCTGCGTTTACAATTTGCTGAAATGGTATTGTTCGTTAGCTCCACTTAATGGACTCTGATTTTCGCTGCTGGGATCCGAATTGGAATCGATACCGATTGACCCACTGTCACAATGGAATGCAGCTTTTTGGTAGTTCGTGCGTTGCAGACACTGAGCTCACGTGTGCTTACTAGGCGCCAGGATTTCAAGGTCGGAGGATTTTTGCCCCTGATAGTTATTAATCATTCAGTCGGTATCTAGACCTCATCTCACCTGAAGGAAGTACAAGAGCGAAGATACTGCCGGTCTGCCCAAGTCTAGACAGGAGCAGTCGAGATGCCGCTGTTGGGTTCGAACGGTCAGTAAGTTGCCCCTGATAGTTATTAATCATTCAGTCGGTATCTAGACCTCATCTCACCTGAAGGAAGTACAAGAGCGAAGACACTGCCGGTCTGCCCAAGTCTAGACAGGAGCAGTCGAGATGCCGCTGTTGGGTTCGAACCACCGGTCAGTAAGTTCACTTCTTAACCACTGAGCTACCTCGACCTGTCTTTACCCTTGCCTTCATTGGTCGAGTAATCCTGTATTCTGTACAGCAGAACAGCGCTGGGCGCTTATGGGCATTTTTGTGCCTAGTTTGGAGCAACGGGCAGACAATGCAATCCGAAAATCCGCGCTGCACTTTAGTTGTGTCGATAACATCTTGGCGTTCGCCGAATCTTGACAGGAGCATCGTTTTCTCCTGATCCTCTGCATTCCAACTGTGAACTTTGTAGAGTAAACATGAAGACCACGATAGGATGCCGTTGAGTGATATCAGTGGTGGCGTCCACAGATCCGCCTTACAGTTAACACACCTAGATCGGCCATTGCTTGTGCTTCACAAGTTTTGTGCCAATCAGCTACAAGTAAAGTTTGTTCGGTTGATACCGCTGCCTGTGAATCACAGTACTTTGATGAAATATTCCAGTCAGGCAATCAGTCTCCGGCTTTTACAGAGAAAAGCAACACCCAAACTCAGATGTAATACACTACTCATAAGTCTGTTGAAAGCTCTTTGACAGCCCATAATCCCGGTTTCGTTCTTCTTGGGGCTCATCAGGTTGGCGCTGTCTCCGAGTTTCCGTCAACCTTGTGTTCTTCTTGAGCCCAAATTGGGATTCCCTACGGCCTATTGGGGTGAAGAGATATCCTGATATGTCGTTAGTCATCCGCTGTGATGTACTCCAATGCGTTCTGGGACGTAGGTGTTTTCACGGCCGCATACGACTCGTCGATTTCGTGTCCGCTACTCGGTCGCTGGGTTGACGAATTTTTCGAAGAAGAATCCTGTTCTCTTCTCGACTACTTTTGTGATTCACCTATTTGCTGATTGCCAACAAGAACGGAACGGTTTTCCTGTACTTCTTGCCTTTATCATACGTTGACCGATTTCACCTCAAAATCTCAGCGGTTTATCGGGTTCTATTTAATCCACGTGAATTGAAGACTAAGGCGTAGGCTTTAGCGGACATTTCCATGTCCCCTCAACCGGCTTCATCTAATTTGTCCAGTACATGCGTGTTTACTAGATCCCGCGACTGACCTGTTATACAAGTCAGTTCCTGTCTAGTACGCATCGGAACGATTCACGTTTTATACACACATCAAACTCTCCTAAATAAGGACAAAACACAATCAAACACCCACACCCTCACGCATCACTCGCGCGTCGGAACACAGACCGGCTCGCCCCAACAACAATCGCGGACAACTAGGAACGTGTAGCAATGAATCTGCCAAAAGAAACACGATTACCCGCGCCCATACCAACTCGGTGGAACTATTGCAACTTCCGCTCAGAACGATAAGTCCTTCATTTGTACATTCCCATTTTTAGAGCGATAAGTCCTTCATTTGCACATTCCCATTTTTGGTATTGTATTCGACTCGATTAAGGTGTTGTAACCTGACGCTCTTAAAACAAATTTTCTCAGTGTCGCTTCCTAGCGTTCTGATTTATCAAGTGGCTTTTGTTGTTAACAATAGAGAACACTAATAATTGGTGAGCCCGACGTGACGATACCATGTCAGATCCTCTTGCACAAGTCATTCCCTCACCTTCAACTGCACCGACACCCAACATCAACGCCGCCTCTGTTCATCTTCCACCATTCTGGCACCACGACCCATGCATCTGGTTCACACAAGTTCAAGCTCAGTTTGCCATTCGCGGAATCAGCCAAGAGCATACTATGTATTACCATGTGTTTGCAGTACTCCCTCCTGAAATCGCAGCCGACTTACGCGACGTTTTAATAGACCCTGACGGCATCAAGCCGTATACTCAATTACGTACCGCCATCATCAAACGCTGTAGTTTATCCGAACATAAGCGACTGAAACAACTACTGAGCGGAGAATCTCTCGATGGCTCTACCCCGTCTCAACTGTTGTGACGACTTTACAACATCATGGGGGACCGTAAAATTGATGAAGCCTTGTTTGGACAGGTTTTTCTGAAATGTTTACCTGCCGACGTACAATCAATTCTAGCTTCCAGTTCAGATGTTTCACTAGCTGGACTTGCTAGCAGAGCAGATAAGATACTCGCAAATCAACCATGTTCCATTAACATTTCCCCTGTTGACGCATCAGATTCTATGTCTGCCCTTCACGATCGGCTCGATCAGTTAGCCAATCAGATCGCGACTATCCGTATAATCTGATCTCAACCGTACCCTCGTGCATCCTTTCGTTCACGTTCCAATTCTCGTTCACACTCATCCTCCCGAGGACAAACATATTGTTGGTATCACAGTACATTCGAACACAGAGCACGGTAGTGTACACAACCATGTTCTTTCCGGTCAAGTCACCCGACTTCTTACGCAACATCGAGAAACCGACAGGCCGAACTATAGAGGCGAGTAAAGTTCTAAGCCCAACGCATATAACTCGCCGCCTCACAATCGTCGGCAAACCCTCCGGTCTCATTTTTTTTGGTAGACACTGGGGCTGACATCAGCATTATTCCTGCAAGTGCCGTTTCCTGCAAACCCATCCCTTCTTCTTTTACATTTACCGCCGCGAATTGTTCTCCCATTAAAACTTACGGACAGCGCACTCTACGACTGAATCTGTGGTTACGCCGCGACTTCCCTTGGATCTTTGAAATTGGCTGACGTCCCGCATTCATTATCGGCGCGGATTTCCTCACTCGTTTCAACCTTTTGGTAGACCTGTGACAACAACGTCTTATTGACGCAAATACTCAACTGTCTAAGAAAGGACATTCTATCGTTCCGCCCTCCATCTATCCAGTCACAGGTTTTAAAAGCGACGTTTCATCTTATCACGCACTACTACATCAATTTCAAGATTTGACTAAACCAAATTTCCAGTTACTACGATATACGAGATGTCGCAATGCACTGTTGAGGCGTACCACATCACTCGCAAAAAAATTGCTCAGCTGCAACACCCTTCCCGTGCCTAGCTGCCACGTTAGTCGAAGGAACCACGAGGGCTGGGATGCTGGAAGGTTGCCCAAGCATAGACAGGGTAAGTTGACAGGCAGAGGTCGGATTTTGAACCACGGACCCTCCAGTCAGTAAATTCGCGCTCTGACCACTTGAGCCATCTCGCCCCCCCAACCACTTGCTGGGTTACCGGAAACTCTCCGATAGCCCACGACTGGTTTCACCTCTCTTGACTTTCGTCAAAAACAAGTCCGTATTGGCGAATTCCGTCCAATTTGGGTTCAAGTAGAAATAAGGTCGGATGGAAACTGGGGAAATGCGCCTACTTGATGAGCCTCAAGAAGGACGGAATCTATCGTGGGCTGTCGAAGAATTTTTTAGCAACCTTATTTGGGATGCCTTACGCGTAGATCGTCCCGCTTCTTACGGGTTGTGTGGGTGTTATGCGCCGAATGAACAAGACAGCTGATGAATTCCACAACGGGGAATACAATTAAATCCTAATCACTTGTCGCATGCTCGATCCATTAAGCACTGAATGTAAACAGACACCTCCCACCTTCCCTTCTTTTGCAAACATGTTCACCCACGTTCTTTCCACTCTTGCATGTGATCAGCATGTCAAAGGAGGTTCAGGCGGTTCTGGTTCTGTCTCAAATTCTCACGGAACGCACAACGAATCAGTGGATAGTGTGTACGGAGAGCTTAGCCTAACATCCTCCCTCAATCTGTTCCCGGAACTTGCTCATATACCGCGGACAACGTGAGTTTCTCTTCCCATTTATGTGCATTGTTTTCGCCGAAGAGCAGATTCTTGCTTTTAATTATCTGGTTAAAAAAAGTTTCCCACACGGCCCAAAAGACTGAAGAAACAGATAGACGTTTAGTAGATACCTTATTTGGTCGTTTACAGTTAGCGCCAATTTTGGTGAATGATATTCAGACGGAATCTACGGCGAATGAACAAAGGAGGAATGCCAGTCGCATTCGGGATGAACTTTCAATTGGTCCAGTATTCCCTTCAATGACGAACTACTTCCACTTTCCGGTTTTATCTTGGTTCGCTAAACTTTTAGTTTGCGGTCATTCATCATGCGAGAGTGTATCGGGACAAACCCTGGGGAATATCCACCGAAGCCAGTAGATTTGTCTAGGCTCATATTTGTCAAAAGCACTCCCTTATATTTGGTGCCCCCTTCTGGCTAAATAATAAGCTGATCGTTTGGCTGTACGACCCTTTCGGTGCCTAGCTCCCATGCCACATGAAGGAAGCATGAGGATGGAGGTACCTTCAGGTTGTCCAAGCCCTGAATGGACCGGTCGGGATACAGAGGTTGGAGTGGAACCACTAATAAGTCTGTGCGTTAACCACTGAGTCACATTGGGTTGCTTCCCCCACTGCATGATTGCACTTGAATGTACTATTGAAAAGGAAGACGGCCTTCGCTGAGGAGTTGTTTATTAGAGAAACACCAACTGAACAGTTACAGACTATTAGACGGGGGAGCAGAACTCTCATATGCATCCATCTTATCTTTGAACGCGTCTTCCTAAACTTTCCTGGATATCCATTGTCTGCTTCTCAAATGCAAGCAAATGCTGCAAAGCGACTTCACGAATTCCGTAATAGATCTCACTTTTCAAGAGACGCGAAGCGGATTTACGAGAAAACATACTACTCGCATGCTCTCATCAGTAATATCCACCGTTACACTATGTTTCCAGGTAGAAAGAGGCTCCTGTGGGACCATTGGTTGGTACTTCGTGTCGAGAGTGTGCATGCCAGAAACGTGCATCCAATACGACTATTAAGCACGTCAAAAAAATATCTTCAGGTGCATCTTTCACCGTATGTACTGGACGACTAAATCGTCCGCATCCACTGTCTCCACTTTGAATGTGGCGTCTAAAAGGCAAGCTGCGAGTGTACCTTGGCTTTACCTAACTAGGTATGAGTTGCAAAATTATCAACAAAATAAGAATGGTTCTATCTTGTTTGATCGTGTCGCTGTTGAGTTGACGAGGCCAGACTTTAAAATTATCTTTGGAGTTGTCCATGCTAAACGGATAGGAATAATTGGCGCTTGAGGAGAACGCACTTCCACTCACTGTGCCCCGATGATGTCACCTCGTCTAGTTGTGAAAGGCTTGGAGCCAAACTGTCCAGATCACCCACTGTACAGAAAGCCCCCCGTCCCGTGGAACTAACCGACTACTATCGCACGTGAATTCAGCAAGACTGATCGATGTGCACTATACACCCATCCTACTTCTATTACCCACTCCCGGACTTATCACGCGTGTAGTAAATGCTTTTCACTCAGAGCGAGCTGTTCGTGATCTTATTGAAAGCACCTCTTCGAACTGGCCCGGGGACTTTGTCTTTTGTGGTGAAAACAGTTTTGTGATCGAACAATTTCATGTCGTTAAACTGAAGCAATATAATCTCATTAGGTTTCGTCGAATCTCCCACGTGATCGTAGATGTGGTGATAGCGCCATGGAGTGTTTGTCCAGTCAATTCGTAATATCAGAAGGCTTCGTAGACCCCAGGTAAACCATGGAAGCTATTTTTTCGCAATGGGAAACTTGCAGATGGAGTTGTGGCCCTAAATAAACTGGGTTCACTCAGTACCGTTGTTCGGCGTTCTTATGAGAGAACCGCACGTATTGAGACCAAAATCTGAGGCGTATTCTCGTTCAGCTGTGACACCCTTCCGGTGCATAGCTGCCATGCCACATGGAGGAAGCACGAGGGCTGGGATACTGCCAGGTTGCCCAGGCCTAGACAGGGGAAGTCGAGTGGCAGAGGTCGGTTCGAAGCTTCCGGGACCTTCCGGTCTGTAAATTCGCGCTCTAACCACTTGGGCCATCTCGCCCGAGACGTATTCTACTCCGTAGCCAAGTTGCGTTTTTGTGTATGCGGTCTCTTCTAAACTTATCAGTGTGGTTGTGAGCGAGTGTTTTGGTCTCGCTCATCCACCATCTGTCTCCTACTGAACTGCCCTTTAGAGACATGCTGCCTATGAAATGTTTTCCCCTTGAAAGTTGTCTTCATCGATTTAAAGAGGACCGTGAATGAAAACGCCACTATAGGGCTAAAAAAGCACGTTCACTCTATGCAAAGGGGAACGAGAATGCGCGAATTTATTGACCGGTGGGTCCGTGGTTCGGATCCGACCTCTGTCTCTCTACTTCCCCTGTCTAGGCTTGGGCAACCTGGCAGTATCCCAGCTCTCGTGCTTCCTTCGGGTGGCTTTGCAGTTAGGCACCGAAATGGTTCTACAGGTGAACGATTTTCCCATGTCAAGGAGCTTGTTTCATGGCGTCAACCTAACGTCCATGGAGTTCAGTGCGCGACACTGAAGCTTCGATGCGCCACCGGTGGCCATGGGTGGTCAAAGGTGGCAAATAGGGGGCGAGATGGCCGAAGTGGTTAGAGCGCGGATTACTAACCTGAAGGTCCGCGGTTCGAATCCGACCTCCGCCACTCGACTTCCCCTGTCTAGGCTTGGGCAACCTGGCATCTCCGTTCCCGTGAAAAGCGTTGTTTATCAGGGATAACCCTCATTCATCAAGAAGTGTTCAAACAAAACAGTGGAGACATTATGGCGCGGGTGTACTAACGCTTCGTGCGAGGCATGACGCTGCCACATATCCAGTTTATATCCAAAACGTGATAATAGTCTCAAACGTCTTTTTACTAATCTGTGTCGGTCACCTTTTGTTTCTCACCAGGGCTAGGTTTAGTCGCGTTGTAATTCGTCATATTTGGTTTCCTTGGCCGAAGTGGTTAGAGCGCGGATTACTAACCTGAAGGTCCGCGGTTCGAATCCGACCTCCGCCACTCGACTTCCCCTGTCTAGGCTTGGGCAACCTGGCAGTATCCCAGCCCTCGTGCTTCCTTCGGGTGGCATGGCAGCTAGGCACCGGAAGGGTGCTACAGCTGAACGCTTTTACTAACCTGAAGGTCTGACCGCATGTCACGCTTGCCACCGATGGCGCCACCGGTGGCAACCCAAAAAGTACATGATGTATTTAATCGGTGGTGCATTCAGACAAATCGGTTTCGAAAATGACTTTGTAAATAGAGATCCAGTATCCAGAATATCCTGTTATATTTGTTTTCAGAAGGCTTTTATGCAACAAATGCTATGTTGGGTTTTTATTCATCAACGGAATCAGTGGCAAACCTAGCCACATTTGGCCACCGTTAGCCACCGGTGGCATTGTGTTTACTGGGCAGTGGCTGACAAGAAGTGCTTCTTCAGAGCTGTAATTTTTTTTTCCATAGAACTATCCTTTTTTGGGGAGTTGTGGAGTTTTCTCACTCTTTTTCAACCCCAAATGCTTTATGCTTACACAATTTCGTAGACGGGCAAATTAGTTACGGGACTACTGGCAGCGCATCTGAATATCAGCTAACCGCTCGTACTTGAGTACAAAGTACAGAGTTGTGAAGCACACCGGTTATTTGCAATCAAACCGCGGTACCCTGACGAAATGATGGATCTGAACTGTGCGGTTCTGAGCATTCTGTGTATACAACTCTCTTGGACTATAGCCATGATCTACCATTGCTCTTATGGGTCACACTCTTCTGAATGGGTCCACCCCTCCCCCAAGAAAGGCGATCAGAGCACTGTGTCATGAATAAACTGCGGACCAGTGTAAGTTGCACTCTGATTGGTTGGGATATCCACCAACCAGAGCTTGTGTGCTTTTTTGCCTCCGCGTAGCCTCAAAGTGGCTTCGTCGATTTGTGTCGGTTATATGTAACAGAATCGGGTGCGATCAACGGCTATACGCGACCTGAGAGCGAGCGCACGAATCCCCAGCTATGACGCGAGCCCAGTCACTCCTAGCGCAGAAAGAGAAGGCCAGACCTTCAGAAGAGGGCTTTTACTGCCTCAACCAAAGGCGAATTACAGTGAGAGCAACGTCGTATATATATATATATATATATATATATATATTTCGAGCGACCTTGGGGAGCGATAAGTCGGCAGTGAAGCATCAGTGCCAACATTGATGTGCTGTCATTGATGATGATGATGATGATGATGCGATAAGTCAGTTAGTGCACACAAAGTATAATTGGCCAATAGGAAAAGGGCGCTGTCTTTTTGGATTGAGGTGCAACAAGGCGCGAAATTCAAAAATTCAAAATTTTTGGAGAATAATTTGGCAATACCTAGAAAAATAAGCAGTTTTTGGGGATACTGACATCCTCAACAATCGGACCGTTAGAAAGTTGTGCTGTGCGCTAGCAAGTGGCACACAAAATCAAAGACAACCATAAGGTTACATGACCATACCGTATTTGAAATAAGTCACCTCTCAGCTTCAGAAACTGATTCATTTGTGAAGATTAAACCCGGTTAAAACATGTCTTTTGCAGATTCTCTTATCGCGAAGTGAAAAAAACTTTAGAAATAACCTCACATCAGGTTCACATCACTCTCGATTGAACACTCGTACTCCTGTGCTGACGTAATTATTCTGGTGAGTCCACACCAAAGGGGGGAAGCACTGGACTCGAGTTTCGCTCATATTAGAGCTCATCAGCAGTGCATATCCTATGGCGTCTGTGGCAACACCTGACTGGAAAGTGCTGACAGGCGGGCCAGTCAGCCGGCACAATCAATATACGTCACTGGGTCGTCGTTCAAGGCGTCGAGTTCGCCACTCACATCACTCAGGCGTGAACGTGTTCGCTTGTTCAGACGTGAAAATTCAAATGCGTCCAACGTGCGCTGGTGGAGTAATGGTAACGCGCTCCCCTCGCATGCCAGATGTCCGGAGCTCGAACCCCGGTACTGCGATAGGATATGCACGACTACTAAGCACCCATAAGAGCGAAACTCGATTCCCTTTGGTGTGGTCTCACCAGAATAATTACTCCAGCACTGGAGCATGACTGTTTTAACGAGGCTGGTGCGAATGTGGACACTACAAACCCCGCAACCACCCACAACAAAACCTAACATTAGTCGGGTATCAGTGGCGTGTGATGTTCATTTTCTCCTCATCCAGCCCATCTGATCATTCGTCTCGGTCTCACCAAACGCACTACCCACTTATTTCATAGCCCCTATTTTTCATCCTATGCACCACTGTGTGTAATCTGTAAGGTTAGACTCGATACAAATCCAGTTTAGATGTAATACCTTTTTCGGGACAGTTTTTAATACCACCAGCTTCTATTCCGCCTTTAAGCACTGTCCATATTTTGCGTTGACCACCGGGCTTGTCAAAGTGTTCCATTTCCGAACCTATTTTTAATCGCAGGATACTCTACATGGACTTTATGCTCCCAACTTCCACTCCTTCCGTTCGTCTGTCTGCTTTCGGTGGTCAAGACGGGTGGTTTGGAGTGTATCGGACAGATATGAAGCAGGGAGGTAGGTTTACTCATCTGAATCGAATGTATCGCCCCTTAAATCCCTCTCAGAAGTGTCTCCTGTCTGGTTAAAGGTGACGAGCCAAACAAGGCTACCGTAGATTGGACGGTTAGTGCATTTGTGGTTGATAGTATAACTTGGCGAGATGGCTCAGTGGTTTGAGCGCTAATTTGATGACCGGAAGGTCCGTGGTTCTAATCCGACCTCTGCCTCTCAACTTCCCCTGTCTAAGCTTGGGCAACCTGGCAGTATCCCAGCCCTCGTACAACCTTCGGGTGGCGTGGCAGCCAGCTAGCGAAAGGGTGCTACGGCTGAACTATTTTATTTTAGTGTAACTTGGCTACCGCATGAATGCAGTCGTTTCAACATTCGAATGCCCGAGGTAGATATCTACTAATACTCGTTCGCAAATAAATATTTTCCCCTAAAGGAGACCAACACAACAATGGGGCTTTTTTGCTCTCCTGACGATGGCTCCTCTTCGGAGGTTTCGAAATGACTTGCGGCTTATCCTGTTGAAGTGAGGGCATCTGTCTTCGTAGCGCAGGGCCCAACCGCCACGCATGATCCAGCATCTGCCGAATGCTGGCTGCCAATGACGCATCCAGGCGTCATTGACAATTGTGTTATCACTGGCCCAGCTTACTCGTCCACTCTTCCGAGGATTTGGAGGTCTGGATTTCCGCCACAACCCAACTATGAGACTCGGTTAACCATCGTTTTTTTGCGGGGGCGGGGGAGGGTGAGGTGGGGTGAGATTTTTTAAGTTTTTGTAATAACGGTATTTTCTCAACGTAGTTCTCCGTTTGAACCTTCCAAGCCGGCGTTCTCATCAGGACAACAACCAATGGTGCACAACATGTATTAGGGCCGCAAAACCAGGTCAAAAACATGTACAACGCGTCGTATATAAAGTGTATGCGGACGCCTGGATGCGCCATTGTCAACCAGCGTTCGGCAGATGCCGGATCGTGCGTGGCGGTTGGGCCCAAAATTTCGGCCAATCAGGGCTCACTTTGATGGTGGACTGGCAAGCGGCCCGATCTTCCAGCCAATCACTTGCGTGGATAGGCTTCTTAGCAGCGTCTGACTGTGCAGTAAAGTGGTATCGATGAGGAATTCTGCCTAACAGTTTTACGTATGGTTCAACTGAGCTAAAGCAGTAGTAGCTTAATCTATGGTACGCCGGCTGTCTTGTGACTCTCTTCACGCAGTCCCTCTCTGATAACATCGTACGGCTGTACGCTGCACCTTAAGGCAACCTTAAGGCTATTCGTCCCTGTGTTATAAGATCATTTCTCTAATGCGATCGAAGCCACCTGACCTGTTCGATGTTGTACTATAGAGAATACTATATCACTCTGGATTGTTCTCATCCCTTCATCTGTTATTCCACAGTCCTTTTCCATTTCCAGTTTTATTACAGAAATTGGAGTTCTCGCACGATTCGGCCATCACATCCGTTCGGTTGTTCACCCCGTGTCCTGGTCTCACAGGTGTGTTTATCGAAATCACCGCAAGTGTTCTTGCTAATGAACCACGATTCACTGACCCACTTTTACTCGCTTATCCACCAAACGTGATGTTCATCATGCCGTCTTTTCTTTTCCGTTCGGTTGTGCCCATCTTACCGCAGTATCATGACACAAGGAGAGACTTGTAATATCGATACTTCCTCAACTTAGTTCTCGGTCTGAGCCTTCCAAACTATCTTTCCGTCAAACGAACCACCAAACGTGCACAACATCTATTAAGCGCTCAAAACCAGATCAGAAATATATCTTTGTAATGTACTACTCAGCATCCTTATGAGTAGTGCATTGCAAAGACATGTATCGCGATATCTCGAAAATCGTAGCGACTGAAACACGAGGTGGCCTGGTGCAGCACATTCAGTTGCCTGAGAACATCACAAACGAGAGGTTCAGCTGGGTTCCAGGTGAGTCTCTCGAAAAACCGAATTAGTTTACAAATTAGTGTATATTGGCAGATCAAAGGTATGTGTACAGCGCGTCGTATCTAAGATAGATACGGTGACGGCATTCCGGGAATTCCGACGCCTTTCCGAATGCGCCACTGGCAACTGGCATTCGGCGGATACTAGACCATGATTGGTTGTTGATTCCAGACGTTCGGTCTTGAGCGTGAACTGGCAAGCAAACAATCGCGTGCATGATAAGCTTCTTGGCCGTAGCACCGCCTAACTGCGTGCCGCAATGTGGTTTTGGTGCGGAATTCCACCTAACAGACTTCCTTGGGAGGCTTTCGAAGAGTATACGACTATTTCGTACCTTCAGTTGTATATGTTTATCAAAATGATATATAGCTTTTCTCCGTTTTGTCTACGTGTGTGCTCCATAAATGAGATATTCTAGTGCGTAATTATAGTGAGCTGCCATCGTTCGGCTCAATCAAAGAAGACACTCGCATGGAGAACTCTACAGCAACAAAGCAAATTCAGTGGTTCGGTGTTGGACATTTGTAGGGCTGTATGTGTCCAACTTCCGTTTATCATCCGTCCCGTTTACAGTCTGTATTGCAGTCCATTTTACGTGTTCTGTTCTGATGCTTGTAGTCTACCTACCGTTCTGAACAACTATTTGAGATCCACTGGCTCCACGGATGAGTTTGGCAGTACTATGTATGACATTAGCGACAGTGGGGATCGAGTAAATGATCAAACGTCTTGACATTCTGGTGTTTCCTCTTTGGAGGGGAGGAGGGTGGACCACAGTTTGCTTTCGTTCTTGATTCACCGATGTGCCCAACATGTTGTTTCCCCGGGGAGCGACGGAGGTGCTGTGCGGCACAGAAACATAGATTTGAGTTGCCACCAGGTCTCTAAGGCGGTGCCAGAACCAATATTTGACTGACAGTTTCTGAGAAGTTTGGCCCGGTGATTTCAAGTTCAACTGAAAGGAGGTAGCAAATTTTCCAATACAAGACCACTGTTTTGCCAGCACACCCAAGGTCGCTAATTTGCTATTCTCAGATCAGCTGAACTCCAGGGTAGTCAACTAATGCTTCAAAGTTATAAACAGTTTCCATCAGTTGCCCGGAAGTAGCTATTTCTGATGGGTGGAGAAGCTTACCATCAGACTCCCATATCCTAGTAAAACGTTCAGTCAATCATTCCTGACAAGAACTAAGAGTTGAGTGATACATTCATTTGCAAATCAATTTGCTTTTCATGAGAGACTCAAATGAATTTCTCGTTTATGATGTCCTCCAACTGAATGTGCTGCACACAGGCCGGCTCATCGCTCAGTAGGTACGATATTCGATGAATCGCTGTATATTTTCATGAAGGAAACTACTCACAAGGTTGCTGTCAGAGTTTTCAACAACTTTGTGAGTAGTTTCCTTTATAAAAATATACAGCGATTCATCGAGTGTCGTACCTACTGAGCCATGAGCAACCTGTTTGCAGCACATTCAGTTGTAGAATATCATAAACGAGAGATTCAGCTGAGTCTCTCGTGAACCAAATTGATTCGCAAATGGATGTATTTCTCGGAAACAGTCCAATTTGTGTTCAAGTAGAACATGAGGTTAACAGAAACTCGGGGACTGCACCTACCTGTTGAGCCCCAAGAATGGCGAAGCCGGGTGTGGGGTGTCGAAGAGTTTTTTGCAACCTTGTGAATAGTTTTCTTTATGAAAATAAGAGTTGAGTACTTTTCGTGGGGAATCTGGTCTTTCCAACTTCTTGATACCGTACTCAGATGAGTCGTTTCATTCTTGAGCCTCGTCTATTAGTCGTTGAATGAAGCACTTAGCGGTTGGAATTCCTGGGGGCTTTCAGCCTTGTTGTGTGGTTGTGGAATTTGGGAGAGCTTGGTTTCCGGTTGTCCGAGGATAGCCACTTCGAATCGCCGTGACAGAAGTAGTTTACGAGTAGTCGTTAGACACAGCGGTATGCGGGCGCGAGCAAGGGTATGGTTTCAACTGCCGGGCTCTCCAATTTCGACTCCCTTTGTAGTGTTGTTAGAATCCTGCGGTTGAAACCCATCTCTGACGGTTCAAAACACTATTTGGTAGGTTGTGGCCGTCATTTAAGTACCGCACGGTTAAGCGCCCTTGCGGTTGCTGAAAACGAATGTCGACAGTGAACAGTCGGTTGACTCATCAGACGATCACCGTTATCGGAGCGTTGTCCCAGACCAAACTTCCTGAAGTCCTTAAGATTAACTCGGGTGTCCCGGTCTTCGGCAATAGTAAAGGCGTTTTTGCGGTTGTCAAAGTCTTGGATTTTGTTTGAGTTCATTTCTGTGTTCGGAGCCTGTGAAGACCTTCATAGTATAGACTGAAACTGTTGTGTTATTCTATTTGGCTGGTCACACTGACTTTATTTCCATCCTTCTGCATCTGTCGTCCCACGTTTGATTCCGATTGATCGATTTGAGTTGTACGTCTTGAAACATGCTCACCTAGCTGCCGAGTTATTGTCACCTTGGTTCCACCTCCTCCCGGTAGGATGATGGCTATCCTAGTCCACGATTCTAATGACTGGACAGATTCTGCTGCGCACGAGTTGTCCTGCATCGTGATAAAACTGCGAAACAACTTGAAGCTACATCGCCAGCCTTGTGCAGTGTGGTTTCAATGTCGACTCCACGCGTCCAGTTCACAGCATTTTCGTAGATTTCGAAGCAACCCCAACCCTAGTCGTTCCACGGAGGTTATGCATGAAAGAACCGATCGATCTTCCAGACCCTCAGATTTACTGCATTTAGTAGTCTTTCCATTAGGCTTTCTAGTTGGTTCAAAGTGCATGTTTTCGGTAGATTGTTTTATCTTTCACATGACTAAATTTCCAATATCAACCGATGATTATTCTCTGCATTTTTCCGCGGTGTTGGTAACCCCCTTACTTTCGCCCTATTTAGGTGACCCTTGTTCTAATGACACTGACAGGTGGGATCTGCTAGTTTGTTCTGCTTTCGAAGCCGCCGTGGTCTATAGGTAAGTTCACACTTTTTGACACCATTGCCTCTTCTAATGACTCTGTTTTCATGCATTGTGCAACTGTGTTCGATTTAGAACTTTATGGTAGCAATAAGACATACATTGCAGCCATTTTGACTAAACTTATCCACGTTATCTGTAAGGTGGGTACGAACCATGCGTGTGACAATACCGGTTGAGCAACTCAAGGACAAAATTGAAGCATACAAGAATACAAGATTGAATGAAACTGTGTGATCAGTAATGCCTCATCTATTGCTGGCCGACCTCAGTTCCCACGATACACGAGAATGGTAGACGAGCTGTTCGGGTTTCGTTTGTGATGTGTATCCATCTGGGGCCCGATGAACCACCGTCTTGCAGTGCCGCACACGCCCCACGAGAATGGTAGACGAGCTGTTCGGGTTTCGTTTGTGATGTGTATCCATCTGGGGCCCGATGAACCACCGTCTTGCAGTGCCCGCACACGCCCTAGGAGTGTGTGACATGTATGGACCGGCCAGCATCTACTTTCGAAATGATCTCACATGGCTTCCGACGAATACGTTTTATTCGCCACGTCGTGGTGAAGATATCTCCTCAAAAGTGAAGGGCGAGAGCGCTTTAACCGGCTTGGTAGATCTTGGCTTATGCAGCATCGCAGGATGAAGGTGTTAACCTCTGATATTCGGCCGCAACTTTGAGGAACATGGGAGCACGGCGTTCTCAGGATTTCTGGTCTCATCAAAAGGGCATATCAACTGCGATTGCCCCACCGACTGCTCAACCTCATAATTTGGGCGCATGGCAGACCGTTCTCTGTGAACAACCGGGCAGTATTACGCCCATCGACAGTATATTATACTAATATATCTGTAAGCCTTACATCTATCAACAACGTGAACAAGATGTTGTTGTCTGCATCCAGCCAGCCTTTGTTTGGGGCTAGTTTGCTACCATTCACATCTGCTGTTTCTACAGACCGGCCATTCAGAGAATGCGGTGCCTTCCTACCACTCAAACTTCCTCTTTACTAGACGGTTTCAGCATTCGTGCGCGAAGGCGGATTCACAAACGAACGGCGTCAGCCACTACTCTGAAGGCCCTTTGATATTATTGTCTGCTGTCTTCTACAACTCCGATGTATGACTTCAGTCGAAGGCTCTGTATGAGGTCGCCGTCACTTACACCGCTCTGGAGATTTATGTGCCGGAGGAGTTAGAATACCCTGGTTTGCCGATCTGAGAATGTCTTACATAAGTGGAGGCCGACTAACGGCAGCCTGTGCACAAATCATGTTGATCGGTTATGCTGTTTATGCTGCTTGTAGTTCCGATCAAACTAGCGTTGATCTTTGCACCTATTTGCAAATGCATGCTCCATAAGTGAACCCCGAAGTCATAATTGGGGAACTTAACGTTCGGAGTAATCGACTGACGCCTCAAAAAGCATAATTCGGAGAATCATACGGTTTGGATACGCCCGGGGTCAGCGATGGCGAACCGCTCTTAAGTGTATATTCCGACTATCGCTTATTTCCTATCGGCTAAAGCTTCCAGAGACGACATCTTGTAACCTGGTGCTCACCACTGGCAGCTCGAAGTTGGTGAATGTTGACTGCATCGCTATAGGCTAATAATGGTGGAGATCAGTACGAGATTGTTGATCGTACTGGAACACTAGTGTAGGCTCTGACCATGCTCCTGTCTGTGCAAAGTTATTAATGAGTTTCCGTGGTCATTGATGATGCCTACTGCTAGGCGAAATTTCACACGGATCCCGCTTTATCACTCGCAGTCAGGTGCTGCTACGGCCGAGAAGCCTATTTGACGCAAGATTGGCCGGAAATTCGGGACGCTTGCCAGTCCGGCATCAAGCCGAGATCTGATTGGTCGAAAGTCTAAACCCAACAGCCAATCATGGCCCAGTATTGGCCAAATGCCAGTTGCCGATCGCGAATCCAGAACGCGTCAGAATTTTCAGAAAGTTGTCGCTTACGCTATATATACATATGAAGCGCTGTACAAATGTTCCTGACTTCGTTTTGGGCGTTAATATACCTGGTGTAACTTTGGTGGTTGTTTTGACGTGAACGCTCGATTGGGAGGCTCAGACCGATAATTGAGCTGAGAAAAATACCGTTACTACACCAACCTAGCGGATAGATGTAACGAATCTAAAACAACCGGGTCGCTTTTCAGAGTGAAATCACTACCAAGCCTGCACAGTGTGTCTTCGAGCATCGAAGATCACTGGTTGAACATCAGATATGTAGTGCAACGCATGTTGGCGGAGCCAATAAAACCCTTTGCGCTTTTATGAGCGATACGGACTGGTAGTCTCGTCCATGTTCACGATCTTTCAGGTATCAGACATCCGCTTTTTCAGAGGTATGAGGAACGACAGAGAAAGCGGGTTAATATCACAGGCGAGGTAATTGCGTAAGTGATCGGTCAACTTCAGCCGTTCGTGTGTCGGCACGACGATCTCTGAGATTGGTGGGTCACTGATAGTTGGACACCCACGGCATACTCGTTACTAGGTTGAGCAATTCAGGGCTCACTTGTACGCCGTACGTGTCGGAGAAGCTGTTCCCCTGGTCATGGCCACCGAGCACAACTGAAATGAATGAACAAATTGTGTCTGAAGGGAAGAACAAGACCAATGACGAGGACGATTTCTCGTTGATCTGTTCAAAGCTACAGGAGACACTCTGCCAGCAAAAGTGACTAGTAGACAGCTGAACAGGTCAGGCTACAAAAGCGGATATTAGAATATTCGTTGAATTTCGATAATGAGTGAACTGTTGAGCTGCGAACAGCAAAGCAGCTTCAGCAATGGATGAAGCTCTGTCGACATTGCGAAAACTGCTGGAGCATCGCCACACTCTTACAAGCATCCACGAGCATAGTTGTGATTCTGGGCACTCCAGCTTCATTGGTCTCCGGGACTTGGCTGTTACACACCTAATGGGAAAGCATCGGGTCGTGTCTAGGTGTATGATCAACTCTCACGGCTTTGACCTATGTCAAGCATGCCATATGCTTCTGGTTCCGTTCAATTCTCTAAGAACGATTCTCTGGAGAAAGCTATTTCCAAAAAGGCACCGACGGTTTTGAGGAACTTCCACCTGGGAGCAAGGTCGACTGTAGCAGATCGACTGTGCCGACGCTGTTACCGTGATAAGGGATGGCCTGTGTATCATACAGACCACACTCAACTCTTTGGCGGTGTAAATAAATAAACTGCCCGGAGGTGTAGCTCTTGCTATCAAGATACAAATGGTTGTCCAGGATCGGTCAAATTTTGGAATAATATACCATCAGTCTCAGGCGGAGCCACTGAGACTGTTGATAGATTCACCCGCTTAGGAAGTAGGCGGACATGATACAGCCTAATTAACTGCACCAGTCGCACCCGGAAACTGTCGAAATTTGCGGCGGGATGGAAATTCGAAAAAAAAAACATTCACAAAGCCTGTATCCGTGGAGTGCTCTGCTATGACTGTGAAAACTGGTTTAGCTGAATCGAAGAAACTCGTCAACTTGGCGTCTGACCGCCGCTGTTTGTGAAGTATCTTGCACTCCGGATAAAAGCAGCGCGTTACGGGCTTGGAAGTACGGCGGCGTCGTTTCTGTAACCATAACTTGAAAGGCTTGACTTACTGCGCTGACTTCGTGGCACCCCAACTACTTCCATAACGTTCCCACGTTTAGCTTCCTAAGCGGTCCCTTTCGATCCCAAGCAGATTCCGTACTGGAACCTTTTATGCAGTACTCTAACAGTCGGTCACTCTACTGAGGATGTAGAAATATTAGGGCAGTTGTGAATAGCACAATCTGGTGTGAGTTTATTGCATGTACCGTTCACAGTGTGTTGAAGCTAAGTTCACGTTAGTTGCAAAATATTCGTTCAGCTGTACCACCCTTCCGGTGCTGTCATGCCACCCGAAGGAAGCACGAGGGCAGAGATACTCCCAGGTTGCCCAAACCTAGACAGGGGAAGTCGAGAGGTAGAGGTCGGGTTTAACCGCGGACCTTGCGGTCAATAAATTCGCGCTCAAACCACTTGTGTTTCATGCTATCTGTTTATTACTGTGAGCTTTCCTGTGAAGGCAAATTGAATGGTCTTTTACGTGTTCCAAACTTCCAAATGTCGTATTTCCCTTTTTACGTAGCGACATCTTTCGCAACGACTGTCTGGGTTTGTCCAATCAGCTGGTACTTCCACACAGCACCGAGTATGATCACGTGAATTGTGCATCTGTCGGTGATTTCGACTTTGACGGCATCCCCGAACTTATACTAGGTACATTCGGACAAACCCTGTTATTTTATCGATGGAAGCCAGACGCAGGGGATAACGCTGTATCAGAATCAACCAAAGGAAGCTACGAGTGAGTTTTATTTCTTGAGCATATGACTGATGGTGTATTTTTGTCGGTTAGGTGTCAGTTTTGTCTGATTGAATACCTCACGAGCGAGTGTTTCCTGTTTTTTGTAGTCTTTACAGCTTGCAACATGAGCTGAAGTGTGGCTCGGACTGAAACAGGTTACTTTCTTCATGTTGCGCAGACATTCTAACGTAGTAACTTCTCCGAGATGCACTGGTCATGTGACAGTATGATGGAATGACAGTAGGAAGCCGTTCCCTTAAGACAAGGACCGGACGATCCCATCGTTATAGAGTTGTTTTACTTTTTGTCTGTGATAGCTTAAATGTGTGAGGACCACTGGCTGCATGATTATCTGTCGGCGTTATTCATAAACTGATATGATCCTCTGTAAGTGGCTTTATCCTTCACAGAGTTGGGCGAAAAGTGCCGCGATGCATACGGTCACATCTATCCGTGACCTTTTGGATATCAGTAACTTCTTTATTGTTGCGGATTCTTTAATCAAAAGGTCGTGTGACATGCCTCAAAATTGCTGACTCTTTGTTGGGACTTGCTGAACGGTAGTGCAACTCTGTATCGGTCCCTTGGCTTCCTGCTCCACCTACTATGGTATATCAAAAGTCACAGTAGCTCTACACAGCCCTTTATGGAAACAAAGGAAATTTATTACAACTGTATTTATAGGGTAATCACAGGGTGTCCACAAGGTCGTGCTAGAATCTCCGTGAGGGGACGAGAAGCGTCGAGTCAAATATGTTCGACTCGGATTGGCTGGCATTCTGACCAATCAGGGATTGCCTTCGTTTAGTCCGTGTCCTGTACGTGACACATCCGTCCAAATGACATGATGTTCGGTTATTAGGAACGGCTGGCCTCCGGACACCCTTCGATCGTGTTTTTCATGCAGGATGGACTTAACTGGACCAGAACCAAATATGGTGATCCATGTAGCTTCTTTTTGCATGCTTCCCCATGCTGCACTCTGCTCCATTTGTGAAATACCACTGAAGTTCCAACACCTGGCCACGATATCATTTACGGCAACGGTTGTTGATTTGGTCTACGATGGCACTATTTGGCTGCAGTAGACCAAATATCTAGCTGCCTCGGTGGCCGATACCGTCCCAAATCTCTTAGACAATCGCATATCGGGTGGCCCCGCGCTATTTTTCACTCTTGTTTGGTGTCTGGATTCGAGCAAGTGTTAAGCATTGATAGTAACTATTTCTGCATTTTTATAACCGAAACCTCAAGGCTGTTGACGCAAGACATACATTCTTAGATCTTCACACAGAAGCCAGAATGTGGTCACTAATGAACTACACAGCGTTGATAATGGTAAAAAAATCGTTCAGCTGTAGCACCCTTTCGGTGCCTAGCTGCCATATCACCTGAAGGAAGCACGAGGGCTGAGATACTCCCAGGTTGCCCAAGCCTAGACAGGAGAAGTTGAGAGGCAGAGGTTGGGTTCGAACCAAGGACCTTCCGGTCAGTAAATTGGCGCTCTTACCCGTTGATAATGGTAAGCATCACTTATCGCTGCATACGACGTCTGGTCCCCACTTCTTTCTGGATAGACTGGGTCAGCAGGAGTCGAATTTGAAAACAAAAAGACGGGCGTAGATACCATCCAGACAGTGAGCGTCCTTTCCTTTATAGAGCTTTATCTGCATGAACCAGCACTAAACGCCAGTGTTCTATTGATTCTGTCATGGTACTTCGTGCCACAACGATATAGGAACAGATTGCTTAGGGTTCGTAACATCCCCCCGTCCCTTATTTGTTGACTCTCTTTCTTCAATGTTTTTCACAGGCTAGTCGCACAACGGTCGGTTATCGGTCCAGTTCATTGTCTTTCGCCGCCCTTGGACATTGTCGGTGATGGTGTCAAATCACTTGTCATATTGACCAGTCGCGGTCTGCATGTCTATCGTCACAAGGTTGACTCGGTTTTGGACCTCTTAAAAAAGCGGCTTTCTCACTGTGTAGATTGACGTCAGAACTGTACAATGTGTAGATTATCATAATATGGCAGCACTGCTCAACGCCTACATTCCGAAGCGTTGGTTAAGCGTTTGCAACCGAATTGTCAAACTTATCGATAACTCATCCTCAAGTCTTTCCTTCATCTTGTTGCATTTTCTCTTCTTACACTATCCGAATCTACGAACAAACTAGTATGGGAACGCTTTCTTCCCGGCTCTACTGAGAATTCATGTGCACCAGTAAATGCCGTATCCAGCTCCCCCCAAATACGCGCTCTTTTATACATCCCTCTCAGTCAGATGACCAATCGAGATGTGATAACACGTGTTGTTTGCATTCACAATAATGAACGTTGCTCACTCGAAAGTGACGCACACTAGCTAAACAAGGAGGGTTTACCTGAATCTATCAGACTGATCTAAGCTAGGTTTCAATAGTTTAAAAGAAGCTGTCCATTAGACCTATTTCCGCGTACAGTACCCGATCTTACATCGGTAGACTGTCGTTGTTAGCTTCACTGAGCGTCGTTGGCTGTCTAACCTATAACAATCCCTGAGCTAGTCGTTATGTCTCTTCATCTGGCTGAACAATAAGGTAGTTGTATTATTTCTATACAGACCAGCTGGAATGACGCAAGTGAATCGTAATATAAATGAACCTTTCTGTTGCCTACCGCATCTCTGTTTGAACATCCTGTCGAGTTCCAAACACCACCTGTCAATTATCAGTTTCTCTTTGAAAATGTGACTACTCCAAAGTCAAGATCTAGTTAGACGCATACATTAATGTACAACTTGCATGGATCAACTTTTGACCTGGCGTTCTGTCGTATGGACACTTCTCTAACGATAGAAATCTCTACTGATAGAATTAGTTCTTCTATGGAGGTACCATCTTAGCGTAGTCAGTTGATAATTTGTGGCAGGTAACCATCTCCGACGTCGTATAAGCTGGCATTGAATTACGAATTTGGTTTTCGGTCTCAGCATGGGAAGCCAAACTTCAGGTTCTGTTAGGCGGAATTCCACGTGGATCCCTCTTTACCACTCGCAGTTAGGTGCTGCTACGCCCGAGATTGGCCAAAAAATTCGGGACGCTGGACGGTCCAGCATCGAGCTGAGATCTGATTGGTCGAAATTCTGAACCCAACAGCCAATCATTACCCAGTATTGGCCGAATGCCGATTGACAACGGCGCATCCAGAGCGCGTCAGAATTTCCACAAAAATGTCTCCGCTTACGCTATATATATATATATATATANACCGAGAACTAAGCTGAGAGAAATACCGTTACTTCAGGTTCACAATAAATAAATCTCATCTACTAGATCTGAAGAATGCAGATGAAATATCTGCGTTTCGGTATTAATGTGATTCACCCAGTCTTTTACGGCAAAATGTAGAGTGCTTTCGAATGCCACGAATTGCGGTCTTTTTCCGCTGCTTCGCCTGAAAAGACAGGTGCGCACCTCAGCGACCCATTGAGCTGTCCCCGAGAAACTCACAGTCTCTCATACCGGGTTGGTCAATGGTTAGAGGTCTGACGAACACAGTCTCTTGGCCCTCCAAGTTGGGGGTTGGAACATGTGGCAGCTTGTTCCGTTGAAAAGGTACTGCATTTGCATTTCCCGCCAAACACCGCTGCCTTGCGGTTTGGTTTTTGAGCCAAAGGCTTTGGTTGAGGACCCTAATCGTCCTCCTGTCTAGGTGTGGGCGCCCTGGCAGTATCCCAGCTCAATTACAACGATGATACCTACGTGTACGACAGTGAAGCACTAGTGTTGAACATTAATGTCATGCTCTCGATGATGATGATGATGATCATGACCGGTTTCACCCTTCTTGAGGCTCATCAGGTAGGCGCAGTCCCTGAATTTCCCCCAACCTTATGTTCCACTTGAACCCAAATTGGATAAATCTCAGCAAGTACACTCATTTGCATATCAACCGGGGTTTTCACGGAAGACAACTGAATCTCTTTTATACTATTGCTCCACTGAATGTGCTGCACAGAGGCCGCCTCATGTTTCAGTCGGTACGATATTCGAGAAATCGCAATATATTTGCAAGTGTCTTTAGTAAAAAAACCAGTTGATATGCAAATGAATAGTCTTTGTCTGAGGCATCAACCCATCAAAAAATGGCTATTTACCCTGTGCGAAATAAACGAACCGGTCACGTGGGGGTGGGACAACATGAGTTTATTTGGAAATGCAATCGAGAGGTAGATCGGGCGGTAGTTTGGGTCTATTGGACAGGGAAATGACACAGGGGACAACTGTGTAGTCGTGTAATCTCTTGTTCGTAGGCACTGTGTTTACAGGTGGGACACATCCAGAATTGATAATCTGTTACCGGTTGGCCTGTAACCACACAGATTGGGATTTTTGTTTCACTAAAAACAGGTGAGTTGGGAATGGGTTTGATTAGATCAACTGAAAGACCTCTTGGAGAAATCAGCTGATGAGACAACGGCAATAGCTTAGTTCGTGCTATGAGCAGATTTGGAAATGTTAATGGAGACTGTCTTGCAGTTGAAACTAACCTATGCCGAAAAGCACTACATCTACTTCAGCATCTCTGGGATTCATCAGCAGTGCGCATCTTATGAAACTCCAAAGAGTCTCGAACTCGTGACCCCCGGTTGGTAGCTAATCATTCGCCCAATTAGTTAACCGTTCAATCACCAGTAACACCCTTCTGGCGCCTAGCTACCATGCTTTCCGAAGGAAGCACGAGGGCAGGGATACTGCCAGGTTGCCCAAGCCTAGATAGGGGAAGTTGAGAGGCAGAGGTCGGGTTCGAACCACGGATCTTGCGGCCAGTAATTTCGCAACCACTTGAGCCATCTCGCCCCCGACCACCAGTGGCTTCACTTGGAGGGCGAAATCTCCGGTACTATCTCCAGATTTGTTGCTAGTGAATACCTATAGGCAGTGCAGAGAATGATGCTTCCATCTGAGAAGTCTTTGCTCGAGGAGCTAGTCGACAGCTGTCACCTCGTAATTGAAGGATGAACGGCACCATATCCTGCCTAGGCGCGAGTTATTCACATTGATGATGAGTCGCCCGTGGTCGAGCGGTTGATCATTCAAACTACTAACCTGGAGTTCCGTGAGATACGTACTACTGGTGATTCCCAACAAAGATGAAACAGTTGTACAGTGCCACTCAGCTTTTTATCATAGGTTGGTCTCACTTAGAGGGCTAAATCTTTGGTCACTGACTTTGTCAAACCACAATCAATGAGCATTGCAATTATTGAGGGACGACTAAGCGAACCCAGTCAGGAATAGTGAGAGTTTAGTCAAGCATTGAAGTCTTTATTACCAAATAGATGACCTGTTTTGGTAGCGATGAGGAAATCTCCCAGTGGGGACAGATGTAATGGTCATCGATCATCCATTCCCTTATAGCAACCCTGACAGGTGGTGCGCGTGGGCGTACCGACCGTTCATTTATTGATTATTCTAATCCAGTGACTACTACTCACATGACAGCTGCCTTAGTGCTTATTGGTAATATCGATTCCAATGCAACTTCATTTGAAAACCTATTATTTTGTTCCACATAATCTGACTTACAAATATTTTATCGGTTAACTGACACATCACCATGGGGGGAGGCGAGATTGCTCAAGTGGTTAGAGAGCGGATTTACTGACCGGAAGGTTCGTGTTTCGAACCTGACCTCTGCCTCTCGACTCCCCCTGTCTAGACTTGGGCAACCTGGCAGTATCCCAGCCCTCATGCTTCCTTCGGGTGGCATGACAGTTAGGCACCGGGTGTTACAGCTGAGTGATTACTTTACTATGGAGTCGATCGAGCTAGCGGATTTCAACCCATTTGGATTGCGTATGCAATCAGTGGCACTGACATTGATTAGCAGTCATACCTTGCGGCGTCTCCAACCAGACACAGTGGGGGTCAGGCGGACTCCATCCTGCAGCCACGTGCGCGTCACCTGTAGCGTCAAAACGGCATAGCGTTGGGTTTCAAGGGTCGCGTGTATCAGGCTACAATGAGGGCTATGTTGTTGTATGATTGCGGAACATGACCTCTGGGGACAGATGATGTGAGTCGTCTTCCGGTCTTTTACCACCGGTGCCTCAGAAGCGTGGCTGGTGTCGGACGGCGTCAGCGAATTCGTAACGAGGTGATTAGAAAACGAGTATTTGGTTGTATGGCAGGTGCTTCAATCGGAGAACACATCCAGCACCACCGACAACGATGGCTGGGCCATGTGCTACGCATGCCGAAACACTGTCTACTGCGACGAGTCGTGCCTCTTTCAGAATGGTGCAAACCGCGAAGTGGACAACGTGACTTGGAAGGGAATAAAGGAGATTACGAAGAGTTTGGGTGTTGTTGATGAAGTGTGCCTTTTAGGCTGGGGTCCCCCTGACGCCACCTGCGCTTGACTAGAGACTGCAAGAAATGGCGGTCGATCGATGTCAATGGGTTTCATGCTGTCTTTCCAGATTGTCTGATTGAGCGGTTGGAGATGTAAGCATATGAGAATGCTTGCGATAGGTCATCACCAGTTCCCCTCTCTTAAACACTCTTTTCATTCCAAGACTTGAAATATAATCAGATAGACCTAATGGTTGTACAGCAGTAAAGCTGTCTCTGCTGATGTTGATGATGACTAGAAGGCGAGTCGCACCGACAGCGCCCAGACTTTGAAATCTCGCTCATGCACATCTGCCAGGACAGTTTGACCACCTCTCTGCTAGTGTCAGTGTGAAGTGGGCACGGAAAGCGGTGCTCTCTTCGGGAAACGGTGATTCGGCATGCTGGCCTATGTAACTGTGATTCTAATAAAGTGCCCTCAAGCGAACATTGAGTTTCCCACGTGGCGGAAGATTTATCCCAACTATATGGTAGTCAATAGCGTTACCTGATGTCTCGATACCTTTAGGGTTTGTACAACTTCTGGCTCTCTCGATAAGTCGATATTTTCGTCAGTTACCGTTGTATGTGAATATTTCGGTTCGGTTCGCAGCGACCTTTGGTTCAAGTATTTCGTTAAAATGCTAATTTTGACTGATGATATTGAATAGCTTAATATTTATGCACTGACTTTTACGGTATGAATTTTCCTACATCAAGTGCTGATGTCCTTAAAGCCGAAATGGCCTTATTTTAGTGTGCACGAGAGCCGGGATACAGCTGAAATCAGGGTTGGTTTCTAGCCGCTGGATCGCCTCGTCAGAAGCTCACTCCCTAGCCACTGGGAAACTTGGAGTCCTACGTCCTGACGTGATCTCTGCGCTCCCAAGGCACCTGAACATGCACCACGATAGTGTTCTGGAGAAAAACAGCAAAACACTTTCAGAAACGCACCTTTCCAGCATGGAGTCCATTTCGTAGGAATCGGGATTTCTATGCTGATCACTTGGTTGATACCTGTGAAAGAGAGACAGAATGAGAGTAAATCACGGGAGAGAACGGCCAGTCGTAAACCTGATCACATACGAGACTAGTTTACTTTGCCGGGACAAATGCTTGAACCATCTCCACGACTATTCCTCGAAGGGCTCTTTTCACACAACCACAGGAAGGGTGAAAGCGCGACAGGGGAGTTCAAACAATGAGTTGGCAACGAAGTATGATAGCCATCGCCAACAAACTCAGTTGCGCTGGTCGTTGCCTGGATGCGGACCCGGACACGCCAATCATACGTACCAAGGCTACCCAGAGGAATTTTTTCTTTTGTGCTAAATGATGAATAGAAGATGTAGGTGCACCAGTGATTCGAAATAGTTGGGCAAACATATAATGACTTATCTTTGTAATGCACTACTCATAAGGTTGCTGAAAATCCGTCGACAGCCCACGACCGGTTTCTCCCTTTTTGGGGCTCATCGGGTGGGCGTAGAACCCGTGCAATTTGGCTTCAAGTAGAACGTAAGGTTGACGGTAACTCGGGAACTGCGCCTACCTGATGAGCCCCAAAAAGGGCGAAACCATTCGTAGGTTGTCGATGGATTTTCAGCAACCTTATGAGTAGTACATTGCAAAGACTTGCATGTATCGCGATATCTCGAATATCGTAGCGACTGAAACATGAGGCGGCCTGGTGAAGCCTATTCAGTTGCGTGAGAACATCACAAACGAGATATTCAGCTGGGCTCCAGGTGATTCTCGAAAGAACCAAATTAGTTTGCAAATGAGTGTATATTCGCTGATAATACTAACTTACTCATCCGCGCTTCTTGACTGATTTGGGCGCTCGTGTTCTAACAGTTAGGTTCATAGGTTGCGCATCTGCATGAGGTTACTCATGTTTGTGGCAAATCGTTTATCCTCATTAATCAAGGCAATCCCACCTGCTTCACACCTTGGCCTTCAGCCAAGCACACCTGTCAAGTAGAAGGCTTTGTCGCTACATAAATCCAAGTAAAATCTGCGTGTGATAGGCTTTTATCTTCCTTGATCGTACAAACCATTCTTGGAATACTCGTGTGAGGAGTGAAAATGGAGTCCGGTGTCTTGCGCTTCACATGGCTCACTCAACACAACTAATCATACAGACCGGTTTCGGACATTTTCTCCGTCTGAGGAAATTGAGTGTATCTGATCCAGTTCACAGATACGGGCTACACGCAGACCTCCGAGTACAGTACAGGCCTGTATGGTTGCTCTTTGTTAGAATCGTTTCCTGTTTATTGCCAATTTAATTCTTTGGTTAGCCAACATGTAAGCACGATCAAATTGGTCATTTTTTGTGAAACCTAAACGAGAGGAACACCGGGGATTCAGTCAATTGTGGCATCCCCTCTCGTTGACCCTCTCACCCTGGGAGGAAAGCCACAGTCTGGGCGTCCGCAGTTACGTCTACAGACGAGGGACGGACTGAAGCTAGGTGGGTTTGTGGCTCTCACTCTGCTGAACTTCCATCAACCTACTTTTCATAGAGGAAACTACTCGCAAGGTTGCTGAAAACTCTTCGACAGCCCACCACCGGTTTAACCCCTCTTGGGGCTCCGAGTTTCCGTCAACCTTATGATCTACTTGAACCAAAATTGGACTGTTTTTGACACACACTCATTTGCAAATCAATTTGGTTTTCACAAGAGACTCAAATGAATCTCCCGTCTATGATGTTCTACAACTGAGTGTGCTGCACACAGGCCGCCTCATGATTCAGTTGGCACGATATTCGAGATATCGCAGTATATTTTCATGAAGGAAGCTACTCACAAGGTTGGTGAAAACTCTTCGACAGCCCACGACCGGTTTCGCCCTTCTTGGGTCTCCATCAACCTTCTGTATGTATGGGGAACTTTCGGAATCCAGAAGGTGATGCAACGATTCGTTATCACCCTGATGTACATCTGTTCGATTGAGCGTGCTGTCTAGCAAAAAGGCTGCTACATTTTTCAAGTCCACGTACTTCTGGATGATGCTTTTGTTTGCCGCGAAATCATGGAACGAAATTAGTGTAGAACGACAGTATTCGCATCTAGAGCATTCAGGTTTGGTTGAGTTTGACTTTTGCTAAACCTATTACCGGAGCAGCCAATTATGTTACTACGTAAAGTTGAAGGGCATCGTCATAGTTCTCTTGGTCAACGATCAACTGAGACTTGAACTTCCTAATGTAAACGCCTAGTGCATGTTCGAAAGAATGTAGAACCTCCGCGACCAAAAACACTACTTGTAATGTTGTTGAAAACTTGTCGACAGCCTAGGTCCGCTCTCATGCTTTATGGGGCTTATCAAATAAGCGTAGTTCCTTTAGTTTCTGTCAACTCCGTTTTCTCTTCACACACGAAACTGCACGCATCTGGCGAAGAGTACCTTAAACGAGAGATGCAGCTCGGATTCAGTTCAGTCTTTCGTCAGAACCAGGTTAATTTATAACTGAGTAGAGTTCGCTAATTTCATTGTTCGGATCTGCTGGTCTCACAGAAGCGAAACCGATGTCACTATGTGGCCATGAGTTGTGCTCAAATAGAAAGAATGGTGACAAAGTTACTATTTTTGCTCAAGTGAAACATTCACCAAACACAGTGAGAATCAACTAACACTTACATTGTGAAGATATCCAGCGCCAATCGTTCATAAGCCTTCCGGTCGGCAGAAGAGAGATTAGGGAGAGTTTCCAGTTTGGTGAATGCTTTCGAACAGACTCCAAATGCCTTGGCATAAATCGCGCACATAGCTGTCAAGGGAAGGAAAGTTACCGAAAGTCACTGTTGTGACTTGGTGGATGGTAGTGCAAATCTGTATCGGTCCCTCGGCCTCCTGCTCGGCGTACTATGGTATGTTAAAGGGCACGGTAACTCTACACAGCCCTTTATGGAAACAAAGGACAATTATTACAACTGTATTTATAGGGTAATCACAGAATGTCCACAAGGTCGTGCTAGAATCTCCGTGAGGGGGCGAGAAGCGTGGAGTCAAAGATGCTCGGCTCGGACTGGCTGGTATTCTGGCCAATCAGAGCATGCCTTCGTCTGGTCCGTGTCCTGCACGTGATATCCGTCCAGATGATGTGATGTTCGGTTATTAGGGACGGCTGGCCTCCGTACAGACACGCAGATGGTCGTGAGCAAATTTCAAACGTAGTCACCTGAATCTTCTGTCAACACAAAGCAACCTATCCACAAATTATACAGATCGTAAACATTTTAACAAACCTTATGAGATGTGCAACTGAATAGCTGTTGGAATCAACGAAACTGATGTAAATTTGGCCTTTGGAGAACAAAGACTGTGAAATGCCCAGTCATCTAAATTCTTCAGAAGTTGTTTCGATGAGTCACTCAGAGACTAGACACCACAGGCAACTGTGACCACCGTCCATAACTGATTAATTGGCCAAATCAATGACCGAATGGAATCATGGATTAGCTAGCCTGCAACCGTAGACTCCTACCTATAGAGAAGCCAGCTGTACTCCAACACTTGCCTTTTCACCTTCAATGCTGAAGCATTCATACCATAATATGGTGTGAAACAGCTTCAATGGCGTTGGATCGCCAGCACTGTCCACACGCAACCGTGTTAGGGCTATCACCACGAGCTCGTGGCCGCCTACTTCGTGTATTCTAGGTAACGCCACTCCCAAACCAGGAATTTAGCCGCAGGCGAGGAAATACCACGTGAGTTATGCTCACTCTGTTCTCACTCTTCCCATCACATCACAGAAAATCAACTTCTGTATCCGGGTGTTTTCGTGGTTGATAGATAATTTGGCGTGAGACTTCATAATCTTAGAATCAAGGTGACTATATCACTCTCCATTGAAGAGAAACCACCCTAGGGATAGCTCATGTAAGTTAACTGTGAGAATAACGCCCGTAGGGGAGCGGGAGCAAGATGGCTCTAGTGGTTAGAGCACGAATTTACTGACTATGGTCAGAACCCAAACTTCGCATCTCGACTTTCCCTTCCTAGGCTTGGGCAACCTGGCAGTAGTTCGTGCTTACTTCGGTTGGAATGACAGCTGGGCACCAAAGTTATGCTACAGCTGAACGATTTATTTTTAATTGCAGTTTTGGGGTTATTGCGGGATAGGTATTTTGTTCATAGTCACTCTCGTTTGGACGGTCGTCTCCCTGTTCTGGCGTAATTGGTCCGGTGAGTCCACACTAAAGGGAGGAAGCACTGGATTCGAGTTTCGCTCTTATTAGAACTCATCAGCACTGCATATCCAATGGCCGTGCCGGGATTTGAACCCCGGACATCTGACATGCGAGGCGAGCGTGTAACCACTACTCCACCAACGCACGTTGGACGCATCTGAATTTCAAGGTCTGAACGGGCGAACGTATTCACACTTGGGCGATGTGATTGGTGTGTCCGACCCATCGAATGACGACCCAGTAACTGTGCTGGTTGTGACGATCGATTTATTTTTAACATCAGTATGACATACTCACGAGCGTGACAGCTAGCTCAGTAGCATCAAACTTCATTTTCAGGGAACTATTAGTTTTCTGTTTTCCGGGTGTTTTCAGGTGAACAAAGTTCCCTAGAAAACGCTTTTAGTGAATTGTGACTTACCAATGAGGCTATATATGGTTCGAGGCTCGAGAATATCCTCATAGTCCCGCAACAGTTGCGCAGTCCTCAGAGCTTCGTCAATCGAACCCGCGTAGAGTTGTCTCTGAGCCAATGACAGAAAATGATAGGCTTCCGCACCACGCCAAGGCTGATCAATCAGTCGACTGATATCTGCTCTTCTGTTATTCACAAAGGGTGTTCCCGCTTCGGACACTTGTGCTCTCCCACCGATTCCCGTCGAGAACTTATCCGGAGTCCTCTCCAGACTGGATGAGGAATTATCTGTCGGTCTGTCACCGGCATCGGGTTTTCGACTTCGGCCGAGAGCTTCGTTCCAGATGGATTTGTTGGTTTCCGTATTGGTGGTTAATTGATCTACTTGGTGTTCCGTACGTTCCCGTTCTTCCAACAGCAATCCGGCTAATGTCGAACTTGCCTGCATAACACTCTTATTTTGCGGTCGGTAAAATGAAAAGGGATTCCAGTATGATGCATATTGCATAACAGATTTATAGTCATTGGATTTTTTCAGTAAATGGTTTTCTGCTTAAAAATACCTGAAATTATCAGGAATATTTTTTGGTTTTCACAAAGGAAACTACTCAGAAGGTTGCTGAAAACTCTTCGACAGCCCACCACCGGTTTCGCTCTTCTCGGGGCTCATCAGGTAGGTGCAGTCCCCGAATTTCCACCATCAACCTCATGTTCTACTTGAACCCGAATTGGACTGTCTTCAAGAAATACACTCATTTGGAAATCAGACCTTGTTCCGTCCAACTTGGGTTCAAGTAGAACATAAGGTTGACGACAACTTGGGGACTGCGCCTACCTGATGAGACTCAAGAAGAGCGAAACCGGTCGTGGGCTGTCGAAGAGTTTTTGGCAAACTTCTGGGTAGTTTCCTTTGTGAACATATACTGCGGTGCCAACTGAAACATGAGGCGGCCTGTGTGCAGCATATTCAGTTGTAGAATATCATAAGCGAGAGATTTAGTTGAGTCTCTTGTGAAAACCAAATCGATTTGCAAATGAGTGTATTTTGTGGTTTTGTTTTGGCATTTGGATAACCTGAAGTTTCGAAGTCGGTTTAGGCTAATTACTGTTCTGATTTGTGTGAACCGGACTATACCGAAGCTTAGCTCCTTATGGGTATACTAAACCTTTCAAGTAGAATTATTAGGGATGCACTTTCGGCAATCACCTTCTCCCGCGATAGATGAATTACTCACACCTCAGGGGCTGTACTGCTTAGGTCATGTTCTCCGCATGCCAGAAGACCGTCTGCCACACAAAGCTATTTTTCAGCCCTGTGCTGAGTGGAAGCGACCAAGAGGTGGACCTGACAATGAAGTACGAAGACACTAACCAGCATGCTTGATCGGGTCGGCAACTGCCGCCTCATCGGATGGGGACCCCGGGATTCAACTCACTAGTGGTCAATGACATTGGCAGAAACGGTCCAATCGCACAGTCAATGGCGCTCGTATATCAAAGCTATCGCCTTTATTACGTAGCTATTCAGTTCCCGAACTAACCTAGGCGTGGCTGTATGTCCCGCACTCTCCCCTTTTCCGCTGATTGAAACTGTAGCAGCTGGAACCAATGTACCTATGATACGCGGTTTACAGCTGATGAATTGATTCGTTTGCTATTGTCGTGGAATGACAGCCGTGCCAAATGAAACTGGTACATCCTAATGAAAATAGTACCATTTTAATATCAGCGCATACTAGTAAAACCACCCTTGATAAATCCCCAAACAGGTAACGCTTCCATCTTGAAGACAGTTTTGGAGGCGACGAATCTCACTTGTCATTGCAGTCCCCTCTCGAGAAAAGGTTGTTAAGAAACAAAACAGGATGAACTTACGGAAATACACTCATGTGCAACCTAATTTGGTTTTGTGAGCGACCTACCTGGAGCGCAGCTGATGACGTGATGTCTCCAGGCGACTGAACGTGCTGCACCATGTATCGCTGTATCTCGAATATCGTAGCAACTGAAACATGAGGCAGCCTGGTGCAGTACGCTCAGTCGCCTGGAAACATCACAAACGAGAGAATTAGCTGGGTTTCCGGTGGGTCTCTCGCAAAACCAAATTTGTTTTTCGCGAATTTCGTGCAATTTGGTTTCAAGTAGAACATAAGGTTGACGGAAACCCGGGGACTGCGCCTACCTGATGAGCCCCAAAAAGGGCGAAACCTGTCGTGGGCTGTCGGAGATTTCTCAGCAACCTCATGAGTAGTGCATTACGGATAAACTTACTGGTCTTCTAAAGGGAAAACCCCTAGCTCTTATTGATTATTTGATAATCACTTCAAAGGGACCACAACCCAGCACATAACTAATCATTTTGAACTTGAATTGAATTAACTTAGGCGATAATTTAGCCCTGGTTAAGCACAAAGAGCAGTCATGGAAGCATTTCACGGTCAAAGTAGTAATTATCCATCCTCCTTTTCATTTCTCCGTGAGAATACGTTTCCGTAACAAATAATCGCGTTTAATTGTCCTTTATCAACGAAAGATTTATGGGGAATCATGATTCACTCGTGCTCTGAACAAGGCCGACCGACAGCCGATCTAATGACAGCACAAGTGCGGGTGTGTATGAAGCACAGGTTACCAGAACTGCCGACTATCGAGAGCAACCGCCTTCACCACAGCTGTTGACAATAACTCAGAGACCAATCGGTGTTTGTTATTGCGGTGTGGAAAGTGCGCTCTATTTGGTTGGCTTCTCGCGAGCAAGAACACACGCTGAGAAGAAGTTCTGCAATATTAGTAGATGGTTACTCAATTCCAGGCAACGCTTCAATAGCTGTGTTTGCACTTGAGCGACCTTGTAAGCCCTCAGAATTTATGATAACTCGGAAAAGTACCAGGATTTTAGTTTCCTGTCGCGCCGAACAATATCAATATTGGTGCGTACTGAGCTACGTGGAATCCAAACTCTTAGTGCCATGTTGCTCAAATGTCATCCAGTTTGAAGCGTTACACAAGTGACAACAGAAACAGGTCACCTACCTCAGCACAGTTTGTGATTTTTGCTTTCGCGGAAGCTTGAAGTTTGTTCTGTTCATAGTATTGTTCCATAAGCAGTCCAATGACGACATACATCTTTTTCAGCTGAAGTAGTGATGTAGTTCCTTTGCGAGCTGCGTCTCTAGCTTCCTGCAGATCGAATTAGACAAGTACATAACTGTTATGAGAGGGTGCATTCAGTGACCTGTGTTGCCTGTGATTTCGGAATGATGGTTTATGATACAAGCGGACGAGAGTGAACAGCGCGTGGCTTTTATTGATGCCACAGAACATGTACTTCTGTGAAGCCTTTTCGGGCACTGCTGCTGTCCAGGTGGGGCAACGCTGTGCACCTATCCTTAGCGTTAGCTTTAAATATCTGAAAATGAGTTTACGCTTACAACCCGTTTGAAATGAGGTGTTTTCGATGATTTCACTAGTATTTAGATCGACAGGGGGCGAGATGGCCCAAGTGGTTAGAGCGCGAATTTACTGACCGCAAGGTCCGTGGTTCGAAACCGACGTCTGCCTCTCGACTTCCCCTGTCTAGGCTTGGGCAACCTGGCAGTATCCCAGCCCTCGTGCATCCTTCCGGTGGTATGGCAGCTAGGCACCGAAAGGGTGCTGCAGATGAGAGATTTAAATATTTTTAAAAGGTCAACAATCAAACCCACAGCTTACCGTGATATTTTCAAAAACAACTTCAACAAAGTGAACCAAACGCATCTTCGCCACTCGAGGTGGCGTCGTCAGTGCGTTACGAAGGAACGTAGCGATGAGTTGGTGGGTGTGCGGTGTCGAGGTGTGACATCATCTCGATTAGTGATGAAACGTTCAGCGAACAAACCAGAGATCATCTATTCGGATCTTTTCCAGATAAGTTCCGCCATTGATGCAAAAGTGCATGTGCGAAAAGTTAAGCCCCGCCACATTTTGCCGGCTCCAATTTAATGTGCGCACACAACCTTGACCTATTTTTCATGAAAACAATTCCTTATCCGCATCTAGACTCATTTTGTGCAAACATTTTCTCCGTTCGGACGTAAAACCTTAAATGAACTTTTTGACGCTTTCAACTCTCGTTCCTGCCAAGGAGACGGCGATACTTTTTTTGCAAAGCCATGTTTATGCCAGCGTTTATGGCGACCAGATGATACCTTCAACTGTTTCCGACAGGTGGAGGTGTAATGCCCGACAGTGTCGGCTAAAAATCGGTCTTCGAAAGGGAACTTGGCTGAAGCGGTCTAGGATGGAGTTTAGGACAGTAATTCTACTCATTTATTGCTGGTCCGAAAACTTGGCAAAAATCGAATTCTGCTCAGAGGAATTATCTATTAGCCACACGACCGCAATTGACTGGAAGAAATTTCTTCGCGAAGTTTGCGCCTGGCGGCGGCTTTTGCACACTCCAACAGTTATCGACGGTCCAGGTCTACACGTCGACATCGATGAAAGGCTAATATCTCGCCGTAAAAAACGCAGGGCGAGTCCCTCCCCAACAGGAGGGATCCGCCGGGAAACTAAAGAGGTGTTCATACCGAAAACTTTGTGGATCAAACGACTGGATTTCACACACAAACCACCAAATCTCCTTGGCACGTCTACAAGGTGCAGAATAAACGCCACTTCGGCACACACCGATCTTTAGTGGACAGCTACTTGTGTGAGTTCGTTTGGAGGCAAAGGTACCGGAAAACGGACCGTTTCATGCGAATTATTGATGATATGTCCCAGTTTCACCCTATTCAATAAAAACAAAAGTACAAATTTCATATCCTCTTTTTTCTAATCTTTTTAGTTGACGGGGGCTATCTGGAAAAGATCCATCTACGCAACTTGAGCTACCAAGGTCTCCCCCATGTTTTGAATGAAATTGTTTCTGGTCGGAGATAACCAAGATTTCTTTTACTCTGCTGAAGGAACTTACGGACTCTGTTAAGTTAAAGATCGCCAGACGAAACCCCTTCCCCTGTGCGTGGAATTTGTTTGAGTGTCAGGCATATGCGTACACGTGGAGCTGCTCATTCCAGCATGATCGACGAACCGTTTTCATGTACCGAATTGAGGCACACTACTCATGTTCCGTCAAGTCTTCTCTGAACTAAAAGTCCGCTTGTGGTAGGAGCATCCCAGCAAATAGCCCTGCAATGCTTCGGTATTCGCGTACGTTTCTCTTGGAACGGTCAGTCGTTCCATTCCTTATACATCGCTCGGAGCAATGAACCCCGTACTGCTAGCGTGCCCCTTACTATATCAAAGTCAGCCACAGTGGCCTTCTTTCAGTCACTCCGGGGTCATTTGATGTTGTCATGGGGCACTTTCCCCATAAAATGGATGAAAACCGTGATAGAACATGTAATGCCACTCGGGAGGGGAGAATAGCAAACCGATGCTCACACTATGATCAATATGAACACTTTTGGTGCTCCAAAAGATACACCACAGCACTTTCAACTCACTTGATACATCAATTCCGCTGCTGGTAAGAACTTTCCCGCTCGTTTAAACAATTCCACGGCATGCACTCTGCGACCTTGGTCCAACAGGTGGGCAATATTCTGATTCAAGAGGCTGTCAATCTTTTGTTGCTGTTGCTGTTTGTGGTAGTTCCCCATTCCTGCTGTAATCGGAATGTGTTGATTGATCAGGTCCAAAGCTAACTGCCAGTTGTTCAATTCCAAGTGAACATCAATCGCCTCCTGTACTCGGTTACACTGTAGAAACGGAGAGGAAAATTGCGCTCAGACAGGATCCGATGGATAGATAGATATAAAAATACGTAAGTTTATCCAAAATTTGGAGCATAACATCGAACCAGATATGTCATCATTCATTTCGGTTTCCTAACGCATTCAAAGGGAACGGTTCCATTTAGTTTTGTTGCGAACACTACATTTTTCTTGTTGGGATACGCAGTCAATTTCCTTGAAATCTGAATAAGTTTACCATGTACTTACTTTACAGCGACTTTCCGCACTAAGAATATCTCAGATCGCTAATACTCATGAAGCATGATCCGTAACAAGGCCCGACCACAGCATCATTCAGTTTGTGTTCGGTTTTGACCTCGTGGTTCACCTGTGGGTGAAATGGTTCAGCATTGACCTAAACAGTTGTCCTCCGATGCGACGGCGCTATTCTTAGCAGGCAGGACAAGGTCAAGGACGCATCCCATTGTAGTCTGTGTCGCTGGATCAATCGAAGAGATCAGGTGTATGTTAGTACGGACGTTCACAGGTTACACACAGGAATTCATTCAAAGGCTAATTTATGAACACTTCCATAAAGCAGACTGAAAGTTGCACGAATATTTTCCTGAGGTTGACGATGCCGACGACCGTCTCCTGAACGGATGGTCTTGATTAACACTAAACTGGCTAGACAGGGGATCCAGGATTTATTTCAAGGCTAACCAGCGAAGGGTTCTTCGGTGGCCAGCCGTCTCTAATGAACGAACATCACATCGTTGGGACGGATGTGTCACGTGCGGGACATGGACCAAACGAAGGCATGCCCTGATTGGTCAGAATACCAGCCAATCCGAGTCGAGCATCTTTGACTCGATGCTTCTCGCCCCCTCACGGAGATTCTGGCACGACCTTGTGGAACACTCTGTGACTACCATATGAATGCAGTTGTAATAATTTTCCTTTGTCTCCATAAAGGACTGTCCAGAGCTACCGTGCCTTTTGATACACTATAGTGGGCGGAGCAGGAAGCCAACAGACCGATACGGGGTTGCACTACCGTACATCAAGTCACAACAAGGGTAGTGGTTGATACGATAAAGGATAGGCCGCAGTTCTGCTGCACCATTACTCAGGTCGACGATATCATTGGATAATCAAGGTCCGCGATCCAATTGGTAGAACTCCGGGGTAGTTTTACAAAATCCTACGATGATTGAACAAGATTTTTTTGAAAATTCAATGGGTGGATGTGATATTAGGATGTCATTATCTCCGTATCCACTTATCTTTTGACTTCTTCCGCGGCAGTTTATTACTTACAATAGACTGTTTTCCTGAGGCTTATTATACAACTGATGATGAAATGTCTTCACACAAAAGAACTGTACAGCAGCGTTTGAGGCAAATATCCAGAACTCAAGTCGTACGTTTGAGTGGAATCAACTGTTTTTTTTAAGCATGAAAGAGTTGAAAATGGCATTGTAGCTTAAGTGGTCAATGAATTGTGCCGAAATCGGATAAAATCCTATCAAATATCTGGTTGCGTGCCTGATGGGAGTCTTCAACAGTTCACACCTCACAAACCTCTAAGAAGATTTGAACCCCCGACCTTCTAGTTAAGGGCTCAACATTGCACCTGGTCAGCTTCATGATCAGCCTTCACTGAGCGGGTGGGGTAGGGCTACCGTGCTTTTTGATATGTCATCGTGGGCGGAGCAGGAAGCCAAGGGACCGATAGGGTTGCACTACCGTACATCAAGTCACAACAAGGGTAGTGGTTGATACGATAAAGGATAGGCCGCAGTTCTGCTGCACCATTACTCAGGTCGACGATATCATTGGATAATCAAGGTCCGCGATCCAATTGGTAGAACTCCGGGGTAGTTTTACAAAATCCTACGATGATTGAACAAGATTTTTTTGAAAATTCAATGGGTGGATGTGATATTAGGATGTCATTATCTCCGTATCCACTTATCTTTTGACTTCTTCCGCGGCAGTTTATTACTTACAATAGACTGTTTTCCTGAGGCTTATTATACAACTGATGATGAAATGTCTTCACACAAAAGAACTGTACAGCAGCGTTTGAGGCAAATATCCAGAACTCAAGTCGTACGTTTGAGTGGAATCAACTGTTTTTTTTAAGCATGAAAGAGTTGAAAATGGCATTGTAGCTTAAGTGGTCAATGAATTGTGCCGAAATCGGATAAAATCCTATCAAATATCTGGTTGCGTGCCTGATGGGAGTCTTCAACAGTTCACACCTCACAAACCTCTAAGAAGATTTGAACCCCCGACCTTCTAGTTAAGGGCTCAACATTGCACCTGGTCAGCTTCATGATCAGCCTTCACTGAGTCAGTACTGTCATTCAGCCACCATGCGCACTCCATTGGCTCAAATGCTGACTGCTTCCTTGAGTGGCAAATTTCCAAACGAAGGAACAAAACAACTTGCGAGATCCTTCCTATTCTGGCTAGTTTGTGCGGAATGAGAAGACCGTAAAGTTTCAATAAAATATCCCGCGATTGCAGTTGCCCGACAATATAAAGTCGAGAAGAACAGTTGAAGTTGTGCTCACCACAGATGTTAGAGCTGTTGTGGAGAACTTTGTCAATTTTAGCGCCAAACCTGGCTTGGTCTAGCCCGCTGTGTATGGCTTCTAGCTGCTTTCGGTAGTCAGTTATGGTGTTGATGGCATTGAGGTCGACAACGGAGATGTACTACAACTTTTTTCAGCATAGATAGACATTTCTGATGTCAAATTGTTAGATGAGGGGCATCATAGGATTGGGGGAAATGGTTTAATGGTTAGAGCGCGAATTTATTGGCCGGAGGGTCCATGGTTCGAACCCGACCTTCGTTTCTCGACTTCCCCTGTCTAGGCTTGTGCAACCTGGCCATATTCCAGCCCTAGTGTTTCCTTCTGGTAGCATGGCCGTTAGGCTACAGCTTAACGATCGTAGAATTGACTACTTTACACAGTTTCGAAATTTCCTTTGGATGGAGAAGACTGCTGTCATTTCGAATAGCACCCTTTAACTCTACGTCTAGCTCACATAGTATCAGAGGTTTCTGGAGGTTTTTGGGTTGAACTCGCGAAAGTTACTGATGGCAATCAATATCGTGACACCAGCTATACGTGTTACGCGTTATAACATCTGACTGTTTGTGAACCGTTCGGTTGTCATTTAACTCCCTCAGCACATGGGCACCAGTCAACCAGGTAAGCAAACAATTGACTTACCTCGACCCTGAATGGCTGGCCGACTCAGTGTTATCTATCCACTTCGTCTCTGAATCAAGTGTCTGTTTCATAGTGCCCGGCGAATAACATGAACAGACTGCTTTTCGAGAAATATACTCATCTGCAAATCAATTTGGTTTTCACGGGAGACTCAATTGAATCTCTCGTTTATGATGTTCCTTTATGAAAATATACTTCGATATCTCGAATATCGTGCCAACTGAATCATGAGGCAGCCTGTGTGCAGCACATTCAGTTGGAGAACATCATAAACGAGAGATTCAGTTGAGTCTCTTGTGAAAACCAAATTGATTTGCAGATGAGTGTATTT